GCATAATTACTCGACAATTGCACCATCTTTATCTACAAGTTTTTCTAAAATATTAATTCTGTCAATTCCAGATGATGTGTTGCTATAAAGTTGTAACGATACAATTCAAATGGATTGGATTAGGCAGTCTCGTGGAGAAGACTATATTGAAGCAATATACAAAAATATTTTCGAATTTCCATAGGTTGGTAACAATACTACAAGTTGGAAAAAAACAAAAAAAAATGAAAAAAAAATAGAAATATCACGAACGTAGCCACTTACCGAGTCTCGTGCAAAAAGGTCAATTGGTCATGTTTTCACTAGATGAATGAAATATTTTGTATTTCAGATGTGCATTTTGTTGGATTGACTCATGGTTTGATCTCACCGATGAAGAAATACAAGAATTCGAAGACGAAACAGCTCGTCAACTGCAACAATTAGTTACCTCAGAAGAAAAACGAGGAGTGTCCTTCGATGACTAACCAAAGTTTTCACTGCTTGCTATGTTCCGAAAAGTGAGCTGAAACGAAGAAAATAAACTATTGAAGACAATTTTTCGACTGTACATAATCAATATTTGGCAAAGACATGAAGAAGATAGGAATCCTTGTCTTGAGAATTTGACAAAAAATGAATCTTGGCCTGGAAAATCAAAAATATCGTGAATTTCCTGCGAAGGAACAGGGCAAGGTTAGGCGGTGCTTCTGCCTCGAGACACTGGATTACTTAGATTTATCCCTGATTATAAAGGGTCATGTATGGTGACCAATACCTAAACAAGGAGTTCATAAATCGGCTGAATTGATGTTCCCAGACGAAACACAGACAAGAGAGACAGGCAGGTAAAGATGTCAGTTTGGCCCTTGTTGCTAAAAGGCATCGCTTAAGGGGAGAATCGTAGATAGAATAGTAGCAGGGGGTCAAGTTACTTAGGTAGATCGCTATTGCCAGACGTCTTCGCTGGATTTCCGTACACATCGTGGAGAAGGCAAGATCTTTGAATGCTGTATAGGTAATGTTGGAAATCTCCGTTCACTTGTGTCGCTCATGTTTACGAAAAGTATACATAACTGGTAAAGTGGGACCAGATAGATGTTAGCCTTTTTTCAAAATTTAGACTGAATCCACAAAAGAGCTGTGAAATCTTGAAAATCTTAAACTTTCGATCATATTTCCGGGATGAAGTAATATACAATGAAAGGAAAAAACCCAGTTGGAGCTATGCTGCATTTGCTACGAGAAAGAGAAGATTAAGGCCTGAATGTGGCCATCTATCCGATTCTACAGCACCACGCCAATGTAAGAATTGCTACCTTGCTGTTCGGGTCATACAACACAGAAATAACCAGCAAATCCGTCTGGAAGTACTATACTTTTCAGCCAGTAGGCACTTTCAATCAACCCAACTGTCACATATTGTAACCAGGTCCTTCCAGACGATGATCTATTATAGCCATGCCGAAGGCTTGTTACAACGTCAACCGACGCGCTCCACGGCCACTGCGTCACTGGGCGAGCGGTCGCTGCGTGTCTGTTGGTTACTGTAACTAAGAACTGCCAACGTTGCTCTTCTTTCTGAATACTTGCTATGTTCTTGAATTGCTTTCCTGTCATTTTAAAGTTTCACTTAGGTCAGATGCAATGAGTAAATGTTGATCCATATTGTTGCATTGTTCTAGTAGGAACCCGTACTGATTTTTACCGATATGAGCTCATCGCAATGNACTGTAACTAAGAACTGCCAACGTTGCTCTTCTTTCTGAATACTTGCTATGTTCTTGAATTGCTTTCCTGTCATTTTAAAGTTTTACTTAGGTCAGATGCAATGAGTAAATGTTGATCCGCATGGTTGCATTGTTCTAGTCGGAACCCATATTGATTTTTACCGATATGAGCTCATCGCAATGGTTTGATTGAATTTGCATTGCTCCAAATGTTCTGTGTTTCAGGAGAAACGAACAGTGAGCGACATTCCACAAAATGTCGCTACTGATCAAATTCGAGTCGAAATCAGCACGAGTCAAAGGTAAGAGAAGTAGGCGACTCTTGAAAGAGCGCCATAATTTATAGGAATTTGTCCCCTGTTTGATAAGATCCTATCAATCCCTTCACTGTTTTGCCTTGACTGTTTCACTACGAGCTGTTGCCAAATTGATATTAAGGCGATTATGATAGCAAGTTGATAACAAGGCGAATTTGATGACCTTAGGCAAGTTGAGCGAAAATCTAGTCTCTCATTTGAAGGGAATTGGGTTCAAGTTGATGTTAGCTAGTAAAGCAGCTAGTACCTAACAAGGTTCACGGTCCTCGACCCCGAGGCCCATACTACAGAAACTCAAACAATCCCTTGAATCGATTAATCCAAACGTTTTGTGTTGTCTTTCAAAGAGTTTTCATTGAATGCCACGGTGCAGCAATTTCGGGAGGCTCGAAAAGAAAGTTGAAGGGTAAAAAGACTCGCGAAAGGTGGGGTGAATAACCTTTAAAGAAGCTTTCAATTTATAACTAGCGATTTTTTCGTCGCTTGTTATTCCCCTAGAACGGCCGAGTTGGTTCTATTTTCTGGTTAAATTTGCACTCCTATTTTACCTTCAATGTGTGTTCGATAGTTACTCCTCATGTTGATGCAGTGTAATAATTGATATTAACTAAGGTCACCAACATTATATTGGTTGTTCATTGAGTGGTGGACTTTCCATTGTTTCGGTGCTTCTTCTCTACTCACAACCCATTGTTCAGCTTTCTGGGACAAATCACAGAGTTGTTTAAAAAACTAGTTCGATGTCACGTAACCTGGGGATGACTGAAGTTACTCTTTGAAATTTAGGCATATCGTTTCATCCAACACGACCATGGGTTTTGGCGTCGTTACACAGCGGTGTGATCCAACTATGGGACTATCGAATGTGTGTGTTACTCGACAAATTTGACGAACATGATGGTCCCGTAAGAGGAATATGTTTCCATCAAGATCAGCCAATCTTCGTTTCTGGAGGAGATGATTACAAGATAAAGGTAAATTTTTATAAAATTCTTGGCTAAGATCTGTTGCTAAGGACAGCGTTCCAGGTGTGGAATTACAAGCAGCGCCGTTGCATTTTTACTCTTCTCGGTCATCTGGACTATATTCGGTCAACATTTTTCCATCACAAGTATCCATGGATCATTTCATCTTCAGATGATCAGACCGTTCGCATTTGGAATTGGCAGTCGAGAAATTCGATTGCAATTTTAACTGGTATGTTTTTTCTTCTGATTGCTAACTTTCAGTGTTTATTCCTCATTCGCCCTGTTTTAATTTTACCTCGCTTTTCTTTGATTTCGATTTCTTCTCCCTCGAAGGATCTCTTTTTTCTATTTTTTCACTCCCCTCAATCGTTTTTTCACTCTATAAGTCGAGTTTATTGCCGTTTCATCAGTCGGCAAATTCTAGGACATAATCACTATGTTATGTGTGCACAATTTCACCCTTCTGAAGACCTCGTAGCATCCGCCTCACTTGATCAGACTGTTCGCATTTGGGACATATCCGGCTTACGTAAGTTCTTCCATCTTAAAATGTTTTACCAGTTGTCCTTATCCTCATTAACTTGTTTGTTTGAGAGGGAAAAAATTTTTTCCTATAGCATTTTCCTCTATATCATATCAGAGTTTAGGAAAGAAACAGCTACCTGGTGGCGGTGGCAGTGTCCCTAGATCGGGAACAGGACCGCAATCGCAGGCTGATTTGTTTGGACAGCCTGATGTCGTCGTAAAGCATGTTTTAGAAGGCCATGACAGAGGTGCGTTTTTCAAATTTTTCCGAACTTTGGATGTTTTTAGTAACATCATATTACAGGTGTAAACTGGGTGGCTTTCCATCACACTATGCCCATTCTTGTGTCGGGATCCGATGATCGCTTAGTCAAACTGTGGAGATATAACGAGTCGAAAGCGTGGGAGGTAGACATAGTTCTCGATATTAAAGCAAGAATATCGTTTTTCTTGGTGAATTCCTCATATTTTGAAGGTGGATAGCTGCCGCGGCCATTACAATAATGTGTCTTCTGTTCTTTTCCACCCAAAAGCTGAGCTGATTCTCTCTAATTCCGAAGATAAGTCCATTCGAGTGTGGGATTTGCAAAAGAGGACCAGTCTGCACGTTTTCAGGTCTGTTGTTCGCAGAAATTCAGCTTAGACTTCAATCAATACTTATGTCTGCTTTTAAGACACGAGAACGAGCGATTCTGGGTGCTGTCTGCTCATCCGAATCTCAATATGTTCGCTGCTGGTCATGATAACGGCATGATTGTCTTCAAAATTCAACGTGAAAGACCTGCCTACTGCATCGCCGAGAATCTCGCTTTCTATGTCAAGGACAAGCAACTGCGACGTCTTGATCTCACCACCAAGTAAGGCGTTCAGATTGCCTTTTTTTGTTTTCCACGCTCAATAGAATTCTTGCCCTAACACCAGTTTTTTCTCTCAAGTTATTGAGAGCCTTTGAGTCACTTTGTTAATGAATTCTGAATATGCGAAATCTTACCATGAATTCTTTCTTTTTCAGTAAAGACCAAGGGACATGCAAGCTGCGTGCGGCTGCTGCCTTTATGCAACCCTATTATGCGCTGACGTACAATCCTGCCGAGAACGCCTTTTTACTCACTAGTCGCTCTCACAACAAGGAACAATGCTTCTACGACATATATAGGGTTAGTTTGAAGTTTCACTAGATTCACGTTTTAACATTTCGATTGTGGTAGGTCACTGTTGTAAGCTCCAAGGTTTTTGCATTTCTCTTTAGTCTTTAGGATTATTCATTTGAACGAAAGAGTAAATTTCATAATGTGCATCGTTTCAATTTGCTATTATCTGTTCAAGGTCGAAAAACCAGCCGACTAGGTTACAATTTTGATTCATTACTGTTTTAAAGGAACCAGTCTTGATCTGCCTATCACCTAGGACAGAAGTTTTCGTGATTTTGAAGCTGTCATTATATATGTCTTGTCTTCAGGTGCCTAAAGATTCTGACGGAAACACTGAAGCACCAGTGAATCGGTCGCCAGGAATCGCTGCTGTCTGGGTAGCTCGCAATAGATATGCTGTCCTGGATAAGAATCAGCAGGTAACACTTCAACTTTTTTGTGCTTATTGTTTTCGCATAATTTTCGAGCCGGTTTTTTCTTTAAAGATTTCTCTACGTGATCTATCGAACAAAGAAGTACGCAAGATCGAAATGAATATTCCCATTGACGATTTATTCTATGCTGGAACAGGTGTGATTCTGTTGAGAAATGAAGAAGGTCTACAATTGTTTGACGTTCAACAGAAAAGAGTCATGGCACATGTTAAAGCTAGTAAGGTGCGACATCTTGAATATATGCTGTTTATCAGAATTTAACCTCTTATTAGTTTTTTATGGGGTTTACACAGTTACTTGCAGGTGCGGTACGTAATCTGGTCCAAAAATATGGAGTATGGAGCATTACTTTCCAAACATACTCTCACGCTTATCAATCGGAAGCTAGAGGTACTTGTGTCTCTATTTGAATTGCTTTTTGGTTTGTCAGACCTTATTTTTAACGGGGGATTTAGGTGTTGTGCTCCCAACAAGAGTCCACACGTGTGAAAAGTGGTGCTTGGGACGATGACGGCGTTTTCTTGTACACTACTAGTAATCATATCAAGTAAGATCTCCAGGACAATATGGTTAAGTGATAGTGTAAGTTCTATTTACTCTACAGGTACGCTCTGACGGCTGGGGATTGCGGTATCGTTCGTACCCTCGACTTACCATTGTATTTGCTAGCTGTACGCGGTAGTACTTTGTACTGTTTAAATAGGTCAGTTACTTTGCATTTCTTAAAAATCTTTTCTGTCGATAGTCATGAGCTGCATTTGAGTCAATGGTCCTTCCAGAGAGGCAACGCCTGTCGAGGTGCCGATCGATCCGACCGAGTATCGATTTAAATTGGCGCTGATTAATCGACGCATTGACGAGGTAGCTCTGTTGGAACTCGATGTTGTTTAGCTCTATGTATTAGTTGATTACATTCAGGTGTTGAATATGGTGAAAAGCTCAACATTAGTCGGTCAGTCGATTATTAGTTACCTGGAAAAGAAGGGTTATCCAGAAATTGCGCTGCATTTTGTCAAGGACGAGCGAACCCGTTTCGGGCTTGCTCTTGAGTGCGGAAATCTTGATGTTGCTCTCGAGGCAGCTAAGGTCACGATTATATTTGGCTATCCGTTTTAATATTTGGTGCTTCTACGACTTTATACCCTTATGCTGAAGCTTCAAAACTTCAGATTTGCGATGACAAAGCCATATGGGAGGCTTTGGGTGAAGCAGCTCTGATCCAAGGTAATCACCAAGTGGTAGAAATGGCTTACCAAAGGACAAAGAACTTCGAGAAGTGAGTGATTACCCGTTCGGTGATGAACATTGTTAGCAAGGCTAATGAAATTCTCTGCTCAGGCTGTCATTCTTGTACCTTGTTACGGGCAACAGTGAAAAATTATCGAAGATGATGAAGATCGCTCAGATGAGGAATGATGCTCATGGTCATTACCAAACAGCTCTTTACCTTGGCGACATCGAGGAGAGGATCAAAGGTGACCATCTTCAATTCCGGTTTTCTAGTACGCATAAGTCTCGAATACTCTGGTTGGGTGCCGAGTGCACTGCAACTCATGTGAAGGTCAAGATCGAATGCACATTGTATTGGTAGCATCAAGATGAAGAATTACAGCAAAGCAGTAGTTGTTAGCGGCTCGTTCAGACTTAACAATTCGTTATTTTAGTCCTGAAAGGTGTTGGACAGACATCGCTTGCCTATTTGACTGCTGCAACTCATGGCCATGAGGAAGAGGCGAATCTTTTGCGAGCTGAGCTAGAATCGAAGGGGCAGACTATTCCTCCTATTGATCCCAACGCAAAACTTCTGGTCCCACCTCCACCCATTTGCAAGGTATAAATTTCAAATTTCTATGTATTGTATGAATTTTTTCAAAAATGATTACTTGCAGTTGGAAGAGAACTGGCCTCTTCTTGCCACTGCACGAGGTCCGTTCGAACTGCTTGGTCTTGTACCTCCCAGCAAAGCGGGTACCGGAGTCTCCCAGAAACCGGCCGCTGCTGCGTTTGCCGTTGCAGATGATCTTGAGGTAGGTTAGAGTCGAATTTTATTCCGAGCTTCTTTCTGTTTTCATCCAAATAATGATGTCTTCTAGATGGAGGAAGGTGCTGCATGGGGAGAGGAAGGGGATTATCTGGTTGGTGAGGATGGAGAAATTGAAGTGAGTTTGCCGAACACTTCGATTCTCATGGGATGTCCTTATCGCCGCATTCGCTTCAGGTTGACGATGATGATATCCTTGCTGGAACTGCTGAAGAAGGCGAAGAAGGCTGGGATGTCGAAGACGATCTGGCGATTCCTGACATACCTGTTGGAGCTGGATCCGATGGTAGAGTTCTCAGGCTTTTAGTTACTGTCAAGCTTTTTTTGGTCACTGGGCATTGATTTTGTTTTTCTAGATGTTGTGGTACCGAATCGTGCTCAGCCTCCCTCATCACATTGGCCAGCCAACAGCCGTCTTGTGGCTGATCATGTTGCTGCAGGATCGTTTGAATCCGCGCTTCGTCTACTTCATGATCAACTCGGTGTCGTTTACAAGAAGCCCTTCAAAGAGGTTTTCATGGCGACCTATGCTTGGTTTGTCAATTTACTCGGTATTTTACTCAAGTTCGCAGTTCGAATTTATTGAATTTAGCTCACGCGTTTCATTTACTGCATTGCCAAACACCAAGGTGCTTTTCGGTTACCCACTGAGAAATTGGCAAGAGGCCTCTGGAAAGTAAGAAAATAGTTTCATAGTTTTTTTCCATAGGTTACCCTGCTTCATGGATTTTTTTAAAGAAGCGGCCTGCCAGCAGTAGCTGTAACTCTGGCAGATTTGGCTGCACGGCTACAAGGATGCTACCATTTGACAACTGCTGGTAAATTCGCCGATGCCATCGACAAGCTCCGCAAAATTCTTCTATTTGTACCGATGCTTGTCGTCAACTCAAAGCAGGAGGTAATTATTTGTTGTGAAAGTTACAATTTGTAGTTGGTAAGTTCTCTACGGCGACACATCCTCTTGCAGGTAGCCGAAGCAGAACAGCTCATTGAGATTTGTAGAAATTATCTGGTGGGACTGCTTATGGAGATGGCAAGAAAGGTGAGATTGATTACTGTCTATTCATAAACTTTATTCGTTCGAGTTATTTTCTTTAGGAAATTCCGAAGAGCACGCCGGCTGATTTGAAACGGAATGCCGAGATGTTGGCGTACTTTACACATTGTGAACTACAGCCAGTTCATCGGATTCTCACGTTAAGAACCGCCATAAATGCTTTCTTCAAGTTGAAGCAGATGCGAACATGTGCATCAATGTGCAAACGGCTTTTGGAACTTGGTATGCACCTTTAACTTTTTATTCTATTTTTTTGGGTTTTATTCATTTCTGGGTCAAAATCGAAAGAATTGAATACATTTAACGTATGGCACACCAAACTGATTTTTCTTACTTTTCTCAAGGTCCAAAGCCCGATGTAGCAGCTCAGGTTAGAAAGGTGTTAGCAGCAGCCGAACAGGACAATAAGGATCCCAACCAGGTGAGTAATAATCTAGTTTTGATGTCATTAAGTCTCAATTGATGGGATTTGAATTTAATTGCTGATTTAGTTGGCCTACGACGAGCACAATCCATTCGTTGTCTGTTCACGTAACTTTGTACCATTATACCGTGGAAAACCTCAGTGCAAATGCCCATTCTGTGGAGCGTCGTTCTCTGTTGGTTTGGAGGGTACCGTATGTGATGTGTGTCAGGTAGCAGAAATTGGAAAGGATGTCATCGGGCTCCGGATTTCTACACTCCAAAAATAAAAACTGCTCGTAAAATAAGATGCACTCACTTGTTTTACCTTTTATATTGTATAGGGGTTGCCGTTGCTTGTTATCGTTATAATAGCCATTTATTTATTGTAGATAAAAAAGCCACAGTACTATTCACTATACTCATCAAGGCACATCCCATTTTTCTCGGTAGGAAACGCCGTCACATAATACGGTGGTGTTCCCCTCCGGCTGTTATGGTTAAGGGTTATAATATACTTGAGAGAGCTATTTATTGTTAAGATCACGGTTGAACAATCCAATTTTCTCGCTATATTTATTTTCGTGCTTTTAAAATATGTGATAATTTCGACTGTTTGATCAATGTGATAAAAGTTTTTGTTTTCTTTGTTCTTTGTTTGAAATTGGGGATAGAGTAAGTGCTAGTATACTTGTTAAGCTCTACTATACCGGAAATTTTCTTCTTTGTTTGGAATCAGGAATAGAGGAAGTACTGGTATACTTGGTAAGCTGTACTATACCGGAATACAGTAGTTTCAGAAAACCGAGGCATGTCAGTGCGCAGTACAGTACTCGTGGAGAGCCAGTTGAAATTACCGTAGCATGGGATGTAATTAGGAGTTCTCCAATTGGTATGCCGTGTACGTGCGTATCTGAGGTGAGAATTTCTCAACAGGTTTCTGAAGATAGTACTGACTCAGTTTGACTTTTTCCTTACAATTAGCCCTGCGTATAATGCGTGCTCTGTAAAGCGTATGGCCGATTTCAGACCTCGACTTCCGTCCGTCCGTCCGTCCGTCCGTCCGACGCGTGCGTGCTGCAACACGACACTGGAACTTGTGCCAGCGCTGTCAACACTGCTCTAGCGACCACCGTCGCACGCACGCGTCGGACGGACGGACGGACGGTCGGTCGTCGAGGTCTGAAAGCAGCCTATGAATGAGAAGTGTAGTGTTAGCTACTCATGCTCTCCGCAATTTTTCTGCCCCATAGGACCGAGTGGCAGGGTGAAAAGGGAGCTCCTACGGTAATCGCCTAGCTTGGCGTTATTCTGAGAAGATTAGCAATTCCTGGATGAAATTGGCTTCCATCGTTGTTAACTGTTAGAAGTTTTTATTGCAGGAGTTCGGTACAGACAGTTACAGAGTCACCCTTCCGATCAAGCAATGCGGCATCGTTTCTTCCTATTATGTGAGACAAAGAATGACTTCAGATCAAGGCCTGTGGAAGGACTTTGTGCAGACTGGCTGAGAGCGTGAATGTGCTCGGCATGTCCTTGTAAGCGCTCTATACGCTCGATACAGCAAAAAGTGAATTGCAGCCCACTAGCGGTGATCTGTGGCTTATTCTCGTTATATTTGCTACTTGTGGGTACAACTCACGAATTCATAACTCTTTTTAAGCTTGCAACTATTTATTTTATACAAACGAATCGGTTCTTCATTATGCACTTTTCGAAAACTAAACGATTCCGAGTTCCTATTATTTCTTCTTTGAACCTTTTCGAGTACTGAAATTGATTGCTGAGGTGTAGAAATATGAGCAAACCTATACAGCTTCGCTTACCCCTCGCTGCTACTCCCTTTTCTTCTCTTATCTTTCTTAGATTTTCTATTCCTGAAAAGAGCTCATTTAGATTTATGGTGTTTGGCGACTTGTGTCTTTGAAGACGATTTTTGTGGTTACGGCTGTCCGAAAACCACGTAGAAGAATACGGATCGCTGGACTAGCGGATAAATAGACATGGTGAGGCGTTTCAAGCGCAGAAACATAGGAAATGGATGGCAGTTTTTCCGAGCAAGGTGGAAGGTATTTCCACTCGGATGTGGTTGATTTGATCTGCAAGGCTATATTTTTGATGACATACCTGGATGTATCGGTCTGTCCTGTTCCAGTATGAGTATCTTGTTTAGGAGGAGGCTTCTTGGCAGGTGGCAGAGGAGGTTTCTTTGCAGGCAACGCGAAATAGTCATCTTTTGAACCCACTGGTGGTGGAGGTCGTGGACGTGGAGGTGGAGGTGGTGCCTGAGGCGGAATTTTAGGTGGTTGTGGTGGTGGTGGTGGTGGACGTGGGAAATTGGGAGGTGGTGGAGGAAAAGGCGGAGGTGGTGGTGGCGGAGGAGCCGCTGGAGCCGGTGGGGGAGGCGGCGGAGGGGGATCACCTCCCAATTCGCCCATCATTTCATATGCATCTCCCATATTTCTGGATCTGAAAATGGTAGGTGAGATGAAGGGGACCATCTTGTCCGTAATACTATCCTGACCAGCATTGAACCGATCAAGGAGCGTGCACACTCAAGCTTTTACCTAGGTTAATGAGACGAGTTATGTTCGACCTCTAGCTGGGGTGAGAAGAATATAAAAATGAACCATACCCACTGCATCTACATTTGGAAAATATTGTTCCTGATAATGAAATCATTGGACGGAGGTGGTATAGCGGCAAGTGGCGCACTATCACACAGACAAGGTTACGGGACTGAATCCGAATCGATATCCGCCTTGGCTTTCCCAGCCTCCCATATCTTCGGAGACGGCTGATTGCAAATCAGGAAGAGACATAACTGCTCCACGTATATTACGCTGAGTGGCCGGCGAGGAATCCTCAGATATGTGATGCAGATCAAATTAGACCGTAGGGTCTTTATGACTCTCGTTATGACTTTATCTTTAAAAATCACTCTATGAGCAAGAGCGGTGACCACTTCTTTTCTATGCTTCCAATTTACCCACTTGATTAGGTAATGATGATGTTTGCACAGAATTTGTAGGAGAAGGGATAGGAGTGTAAAGCTAACGGCACTTCTACAACTGACTCCGAAAAAAGACCTCGTGCCTCCTAACCAGGCTTCATTGAACATAGTGAATGATCAATGTTAAGGTCTGCCTGAATCCATTATGTCGATTTGAACCGTTGAGACTACAGGTGCACTATTTCACCAATTCGTCGATCCCACGGCCTCGATCCGGATATTTTTCCATTGATAACAGGGTTCGAATATGCGTCGCTACGTAAACTGAACGTCTCACCTTTTCTATCTTTTGATTGCCATTCACAGCAACGATTGTAGCGGGAAATTGTGGTATGGGTCAGGAGGCACCAACGCTCTCGTCACGGAAAAATTGAATCATCCTGTCACGAATCGGGAACCCCTCATTCTTTGGACCCATTCGTCATTTTGCTTATGGAATAGGAAGTGCTTTGGCTCTTGAGATCGATGTAGGCCTAAGCCCATCAAGCCATCCATCCCTCCGGGTACCAAACTCGTCTGGGGGATAAAAGCACTGGCTTGTAAATCGCCTGGCCAACGCAAGAGATACGCGTTCAATACGCCACTATGATTCTGAATAGAAGTCGAACGCATGGGCGCATCCCTCTGACGGAATGTACTCCCCGAGCTTTCCCTTCTATCCTTTATTCAGAACCTTACTTTAAACCTTCTTGGCTGAAGTAATCAGTTAGAAATTGGTGGAGCCCTCTGACTGCCGTTGACTGTTCAGAAAGTATAGAAAAAAAATTTTGCGGGAAGCTCCAAAGAGAGCCTCGTGAGCATAGTGGCAGAGAGGAACATCGCTTCTCGGAATCTGAATACAACGGGGCATTGAGGTTGTGGATCAGGAGGCATCGGTGAGGTTGTCGCGCCGAAACTAAGTGGACTAGCATAGCACTACCGACTAGACTGCTTACCATTAGTTCCCAGGAAGTAATGAGGAAAAGAACAAGGAGAGGCTTGGAAACTACATTTCTCCTCCAACTGCTACTGAACTAATACAGCTGGTTCCGATGTGAGGTGTAGGACCATTTCGGCTTCTATTCTGACCTTAACGAGTCACCTACTTAGTGCCCGTTGGAGTACTAGCATTGGAAGCTATGAGTTGACCGATTGTGAGCTGCAATAGGGTGGAGATCGTTTGTTTCCTGTTTTTGATTTCAGTGATGACTGTAACTTGTGACTCATTTAAAATTCGCAATAATTTATTTTATTCAAACGAATCGGTTCTTCATTATACATTTTTTCTTTCTTCGAAGACAAAATCATACAATTATCAAGGCTTTCGCTTCCTTTCCGAACCTCTCTTTGTACTGAAACTGATCTATTTAGTAGTAGAAAATTTGGTAAACTTGATGACTACTACTTACGCTCTTACGCTCCCTTTTCCTTTCAACGACTTTTTCTTTCTTTTACTGAAAAAATGACGTTAAGTAATTAGCACTTAATTGTAATTTGAGAGTAAGACCAGCCACAATTCCTGAGAATCACGCGATCGCGTACGCCACGCGTGCACCTGCACCCCGGGAAGGTTCCACATGTAATAACGTGGTGTAAGTGATAAAGTCGATCAATAATTCGCTCTTCCACGTTTTTCATGTGAATGGTAAGCCCAGCGCTTGTCGGTCGCTCTCAAGCTCACCGGCATTTTGTAAACATCCCTATTACCAGGTCTTTACATGTGTCTACAAGTGAAAAGCGATCGTTTGCCTGCTATGGAATATCGATTTATTAAATCGAATTCTTCAGTTTGATCGATTGAAGAAATCGATTTTTTCATTTTCTCGGCTCAATGAAATAATTTATCTACAGTTATTATTGTCAATGGTGGTTCGTTGCCAAGTATCTCTTTCTAGCTCCCTGTAATCCATCATATAGTCGAGGTTCTCTGGTTGTTTCTACCCGCCCTGCATAAATGGCACTTGTATGCGCGCAAAATCGATACCTATTTCAATGTGCGTGGTTCGGATATAAGGGGCTGAACGATGTAGTTTTATAATTTCAATAAGCCAACTGCATATCATCAGCAGAGAACTATAAACATACTCGATTAACCCTGCTTCTGTTCCAGGATGCTGCTGAGTGGCTGCTTGAGTTGGTGCTGTAGCATGAGGGGGCGGAGATGTAGGATGGGCACCGGCGGCAGGTGGTTGGGGATTGGGTGAAGGCTTAGGTGATTGAGGTGGTTGGGGACCATGAGGTGGCGGAGGTGGAGGATGGGCACCAGCAGGTGGCTGAGCAGGGGGCGGAGGCTTAGAAGGCTGAGGTGCAGGTGGAGCCGGCGAACCAGGCGGTGCAGGTTGTTGAGCAGGTTCTGGTGGAGGTGGCGGTGGAGGAGGTTCATTAGACAAACTGCCCATCATTTCATACGCGTCTTTGTCACCCATCTTTCTGGACCTGAAAAGAGAGAGTACTGATCAGAGTCATCGAGTTAGGTTCATCTACTTGTTGCTGGATGGGCGAAGCGAGCTGAAGAAGTCGAACCTCTTACCGTGATCAACAAGAAGAGTTATGTGTGACTTCCAGTTGGGGTAAAGATGATTAGAAAAATGAACCATACCCGTACCATTCATTTTTGGGGAACCCATTCGATCGCAATGAATGACTAACATGGATTGGTATCAGACGGTAATGAATATCAGGTGATATCGTTCATTCTAGTCTACCACTGGAAGAACATTGTTTAACAGCCTTAGGAATTCTCATGTAGAAGTATTTGAGTGTTCCAGGGTTTCATGGATCTCCCACATGGAATGCGCTACCCTGATACCCTGGGTACAACGCCTCATTGCTACCAGACGGATGCTCCTGACCCACTCTTGTTGACCAGCGGTTCAATAATAATTACTTGATCGGCATCTTACTCCGCTGACTATGCCTTCATGCGATTTTCACTGACTATTTTCAGTCTTTCTCTTTCCGGTCCTTTATAACTATTTTTCTGAGCGCAAGACCTCCTCAGAGTCCCTTCCTTTCCTGTCTTATGAAAAATCGCTCTTTATACTTGGAGGACTTGCTCAAGCGTTTTCGAGATTCTTCCCGCTGAAAATCATGCCCACATTGGCAATGGGATCGGCCGTAAAGTGTGTCAACGTCTTTGCTTTCTATTTTTTGCTATCACCTGCAGCTTCCTCTCATCACCAGCAGCTATCTTCTACTATAATTTCCATTATTTGGAGTTTATAATGTTTCCGCCAGATGTTTGGTGGCTGAATGTTTGTGTTGTTGTTGTTGATTGTTTTTTGATAGATCGTGTTTTTTCATCGTGTCATTTCTACGATTTTGAACGTACCCCGCTTCGTACGCATAACGAGTATCGCTTACGTGCACGTGCACGAAGTCACTGCTTTTAAAATAGGTTGACTATTGAGATTTGCAAGGAACCTTAACTATGAGATGGCTCCATTTACAAAAGAGACCGTCTCATAGTACAGTACAACCACAGTAGTGCGATTTCTGCTCTCTACTTTTTATATCTAGAGGAAAACATTGCGACAAAGCTGCATTAGATTGCCAAGATAAAAAAATCAACCTTAAGCACAGGAAGTATAGGAAGTATGCTATAAGATCATTTTAAAATTCAAACAATTTCGCTCAAGTGAAAAGCCTGTATAGAAGCGAATGCCCATAATCTGAAATGAATATGGAGATTACCTATTGTCAGGTACTACTTTCATCTAACATTTCTTTTGCTCGGAAGTAGTGTACTGGCAAGAGGTTCACAATCACACATGCCGGTTCATGGTTTGTATCTCGTGTCAGCGTCTGCCCAGACCAACCAAGCTTTCCATCCTTCGGGGGTTGTTTATTTGGTACTGAACCCGTCTGGGAGGAGAAAACACTGATTTTTATATCGGTTGGTCATCGGATTTCATTGTATAGCTCAAGATCGCGTCCAATACGCCATTACGATTTTGAATGAAAGTCGAATGGGAGTAGTATCCCGAAAATGGGATCGATCAGCGCCAAAGACTTTGCCTTTTCTATTGTCCTTAAATGGTTACTTCTGAATTAAGCTTTTGAAAAGACCTGTCTATTGTGATCTTGTATTTTATATTTCTCAGGTCCATATTTTAATTATTTTTTCGGTTTTGCGTCATTGAAAAACGTTTGACAGCTTTGAATGGCTGGTCTATCTGATCTCTGACCGTAGTCATTAGTCGGCTTCCGTAAGTGATGTTTATCAAATGACGAATGGATGAAAATATTGATATGTCTAAATAGAGTGAATTTTTGGTCGAAGACTTCCGCTCTGGACAAACGAGCCGCACCTGTTCAAATAGGCAATTGATACGGTACTTAAACCAAAGAGGAAGTATCATGAGCACACGGAATGCAGGCCTTGATCCTTGCCCTACTGGCGACCGCCGCCTGGTGAGTTCCGAGTACCTCTTCACGGGTTTTGTAAGTTTTAAAATTTGTCTGTATTCTTTGCAGGGCGGATCTCCTCGAGGATACAGTCTTACTGGCGATTGAAACGGCTCGATTGAATCTGGCTGAACGTGAAAAGGAAGCTCCCATCGTTGTTGGTAAGTTATTCATAAGCACCAGGAATTCATAAGGTTGCTAGCTGTGCTAGCATATGGGTAAAAACTCGAATAGTATTGAGGCTCCTGTCAAGACTTTAGGACTTTCAGAGTTTGAGGCTTCCTTATACTGCCGAATGCATAGCCTCAACTTCGGTAACTCCAAAGGCCCTTGAATCAGAATTCTTATAAACCCAGGCAGGCCCTGCCATAAACCAACTTCAAAATGCTTTCGAATCCGAAATCAGTCATGGCAGTTCTGGTTATGACAGGCTATTTTGCCCCTATGGTAGACCAGCCTTACCGCTATACCGTATTCTGACAGGGTTCTCGAGAAACATTTGGAGGGACAAAACTTCAGGAATTAGTCGGTCGGAAGTCAGTGTGGTTTGATTCATTTTGAGAGATTCGGGAATTGAAAAGGATCCAAATCATGCCGACTAATATTTAGGGTCAAGTTTACAGTGATGAGCTTACAATATCCTCACATTTCGAGTTAACCAGCTCTAGAAGAAATTCGACTTTTCCAGGTACCATCATGGAAACTCAGAAAGCAAATGGTGAGTCAGAATTAGAGCAGCTCAAGGGAGATTTTCTGTCGGAAGTGACCAAGGTAAGTTGAAACCAAATATTCACAAAAATAGTCAAACTCGAAACCAATTGGGCATTCATGGAATTTCATCACGTTCAACAGGGTAAAAGTTACGATCCCATGTAATCGTAGCCTGCAGAGTCTTGGGCCAGGGTTCTTTTCTTTATGTTAAGGCAGAAGGAGTGAACAATTTGATGGAGAGTTGTAAACAAAATGTTTAGCAGTTCGAGACAGTTAAACAGAAACATTTAATACTCCTTGAACTCTTGAATTAACCACGAAAAGACCCATTATACCCACAGGATCCGTTCAGAAAGTCCAATAGTGTGGACTGGGTCCTTCGCTTTCCTTGTTTTTTTTTCTTATTATCAGGATATCAAATGATTCCAGTGACCCTCTCAGGCCCAATTTGATATTTTTATGAACGCGTATGCAAAAAGTTGCAGATCGTAGTGGAAAAGCTTGGCGTCGAAGTTCTGGATGAACTCAGCGAGGTTGACATCGATAGTCTTCTAAAGGAAACTAGCCCAGCTCGGAGAAAGCGTCAAACTTCAGGATGTGGCACGACCGACTGCACCAGTCCAAGCAGGTGACGGTGATAGACTTGTAGAGAATAGAGTAGCTATAACTATAAACTACATAGTTTGTTAAGTAGAAGAATTGACTTTTATTGTAAAGAGAGTGGCCGGAAAACGCTGCCACAGACCACAAGTAACAAAAATTTTCATTTTTAGATTATGCTACATAGTCGGCCTTCATTCGGAGGCGCAAAAGTGTTTGATTGGTCCGTCTTTTAAATGTATGGACCTTTTTCGGCTACTCTTTTTCACCGTTTTCGTACGCTTCGCTATCAAACACCGCTGCGGCTTTGAATGGAAGTTATTTGTGTGGCGCACTCTGAAGCAGGAAATTCTGATGTATTTCCCGCATGATGTGAACTAGGAACTCCGATCTCATCTTTTTATTACAGTAACTCATTTCGAACAATCACCGGTAAATGTAACAATGTCAAGAATCCGATGCAGGGAGCTGCTGTAACTCCTGTTCGTCGACTTCTTGGAAAAGCTAGTTACGCGGATGGTGGGCTATTTCCAGCAATTGAATTAGAACGGCACAAATAAGTTATTTCGAGGGACAATGATGGGGAGGGTGGTTCGAAGAGCGATAGTTCTTTATCAAAATGCAGGATCTAGGGTTCGAGTTTTGAATCAGTACACGCTCAGGGAAACCTGGTATACCATCCCTACGGATTAGATCGGTAACACACCCATCTGGGGAGGGGTAATAGCACGGAATTTACTTAGCTTGTTCCGGTTCGTCCCCGGACAGTTAGGTGTTTAACGTTAACGTTGCGAATGGTCGCAGGACCCTTGTCGTGTAACGTAGTCGTGGGTACTTTCATTCACATCAGTTATAACCGTGAAGACTGTAGCTCGATTTCAAAGCAGCTATCTATTCTATCTAAGATCCTGTTTCCTTAGTTAGGCTTATAGGAAGAAAAGGTGATTCCTCGCCAGTAGGGAATAGAGATGGAACCTTTTTCTATGCCTCGGAATATTAAGAATCACTGAATTTGTTGCAGGGTTCAACCGGATCCGAACCAAAGGCGCCAAGGGAACCGTCCTTCCATCAACAAGAGAAATATCGAACAAGATTCACCAAGAAGTAGAGTGCATTTCGTGATATTTTTCATAGATTAGCGCTTGGACTAGTCGCCAGTTCCCTTGTTTTCATGAAATATCTCTGAACAAAAACAGGTCACCATAACTTGGTTTTCGAAGCTTCAGAGACTGGCCAGCATTGTAAGAGATCTTTAGCATCCCGAAAATCTAGTTCCTTTCAGGGAGCAAAGCCGGCGTTTGACTACTCCAGAAATCATTTCTATATGCAATTCGGGCAGTGGATCGCTCACGACATCATCTTCATGCCCTCATCTGTCGGTCAGTTCATTAAAGTATCTTTTGAAGGGAGGAATGACAGGCTTCGATCGGTTTCTTCATGTAGTCGAGGGTTTCTGAACTTTTGTCGGTTTGTTGGCAGCTTTGTATCTATTTCTCATTTGACTTTGAAGGTCCACTTGGCAAAACGCTGGACTGTTCATCGTGTAACTCACCGTCTTTGAGTGAAAACTGTGCTCCGATTCCAGTACCTGATGATGATCCCTACTTCAAATCTACTAGTACTAGAAGGTAAGCTCATATACTCAAAGAAAGCAAGCCCTGAACAAAACAGGTGTGAGATCTTAACAGAACCTGTCCCTGCAGATGGAATACCAAAATTCGGGAGTATTTCTTTTGATCTAAGCATAAGTACTACTTGGCTTCAGAACTTGAAAAAAACTGAATTTCGAGAAATTTTCGAGGCTTTTAGAAATAAATTGAAAATTCTATGTCGTCTTGGCACTGCGTATATAGTGATATAATTACGATCGTCCTATGTCTTTGTTCCACTTGCTAGGTTTTTTTTTTTGATTTTTCTAAATTGTTATAGTGGAACTGGCCCTCATGACCTGTACAAAGTTTTCGGTGGAAGGTTGAGCTGATGATTTTTCGCATCGAATGAACGGTTCGCATTCCGATTTCTAAAGCTCATTCTATAGGAGACGTCGTCGTCAGGACAGAAGGGGCTCAAGGGATTCATCGCATCACGATGATAGGAATTCAAAGGAAAACAAGTCGGACGGTGGAAAGAAGTCGGAAAGTGGAACTTCCAGATGTCTTCGACTAACACGTGCCTTAAATGCTCAAAAAGGGCTTGGAGTAAGGACACAAATCAATCAGGTACGAACTCTCTTCAATTTTTTGTTAAGCTTTTTCCAGACCTGAAANAAAGAAACATTTTTGGATTTTCTTGCTTGCACTGAATTTGTATACCGAAAGCTCTCAAGGATTAGGATTGACTATCGAATTGACTGTACTGATGTGAAGGTGTTCAGATTCTAGCTGCATACACCCCTCCCAAATTCGAAAGCTCTGGTTCTACGCTTACGAACTGCGTAAAGTCTGGTATTGCCTACCTGAGCGGAGTAGCGGAGTCCAGTCCTGCCATTTACAATTAGTAGCCCTATCCCGCTGCTTGCATACTTCAAACTCGATGGCCCTAGGTGTCAGGGAACAGAAGTTATACTCTTCCGGACACACACATACGCACACATACATACACACATACGCATAGCCATACATGTACAGGTACACATATACAAACCAATGCGTTTTGTATGTAGAAGAATTTGTATTATTTTCTCATCCAGGTATATTTTGCGATCCCTTCAAGTGAATTCATTTCGTTGCGCATTTGCGTTACATATGATTTGGAATCCCGGATCGATGCCCGCCTAGGCCAACCAAGCCTTCCATCCCTCCGGGGTCGGTTAATTGGTACCACACTCGTCTNGGAGGATAAAAGCACTGACTTGTACATCGGCTGGCCACCGCAAGTCATTGTATGGGCCACATACACACTCATTACGCCACTACGATTTTGAATGGAAGTCGAGTACGGCGGCGCATCCCGCGACGGGATTGATTAACGCCAAAAACTTTATCCTTATCCCTTTGATTTCATATCAATGACCTGAAACCCATCCCTACCCTATTTTCCCAAAACAAGCAACCTGGCCTTCGTGAAAGGTATTGTCAAGGGATTGGAACATTTCTCCAAGATAAACTTTTATAGCGCAGACTGATATACTTGTTAGATTTTTAATTCGGAAGAGTACAAAGTTTGGGGTATAAAATCTGAGACTAGGGCTGTTAGGGTCTCGACGCTGAAAAGTTTCAGATATATAATGTCTAATGGTCCTGTTTGTGGTTGTTATTGAATTACCATATCTTTTGTTCCGTTCTTTTTCTGGTAACTTATCTTTGTTTATAGTATTTATCCGATTTCTAGAATACTCATTTCCTCGATTTGTCGGCAGTTTATGGCTCCGAAGAGTGTGAAGGAGCATCAGTACGATCGTTTGTTGATGGCAAATTGTCTACGTATAGCAACAATGGAGATATTTTACCACCTCAAAAGAAAAATGTACGTCTTTTTCTTAAATCTACTCCCATTATGTTTCTACTTCTCGTGGAAATGCGCGTGGGTAGTAGAGATGAAGCAGAATTGTGTGCAAAGAGGTCTCGTTCACATTTCTTAGCTTTCTGGTTTTTTAGGACTCGAACTGTTTGTCGAAAGCACCCCAATACTGCTTTACCACCGGCGACTTCCGAAATTCGCTACACCCTGGACTGGTACCATTGCACGGACTCTACATTAAGGAACACAATAGAATCGCTGCTTTGTTCAAACGAAGCAATCCATCATGGACTGACGAGCAAATATTCCAGGTATGTAGATCGTAGGATCATGAGCGGACTGGATTCTTCCTCTCAATACAATCATTGTTCACAGTGAAAATGATAGGAAATGTGGTTGAAGTCTACTTGTATACTGTAAAAGAGAAAGGGTAGATTGACTGTCTTCCCCGGGACTGAAAGGTCACTTCACGGTCGAGTGAACCGTATCACGAGTCACCTCTAACCCCGTACCCGTAGAGTAACCCGTGCGAAGTTAGATCACTTTATCGATTACGCTGATATACTCTGATAGAGTGGTAGAGTAGAAGAGTTTCGTAGAATTTTCTATGTCCTCTTAAGAATATTTGGAAATGGCTTCCTGGTAGATATACCACACATGGTATGGCTGGCAAAATTCGAGAGTTTCAGGGCCCTTCCGGTTTTTGCTAGAATTGCATCTTATCTGGATAAAATCTTGTAACCATATATGAAAATATTTTTACTGTATCTTTTGAGTTTTTACGATTACCAACGGAATAACTTCTAGGAAGCTCGTCGTGTGAACATTGCCCAGTATCAACACCAAGTCTACTCCGAGTACCTTCCTTTGGTAGTTGGCGATAAACTCTATAATAATTTCGGCTTGAAACCGCTGAAATCTGGATTCTTTACTGGTGAATTCATTTGACCACCTACTTGCTATCTGAAAATGAACTTTCTTGTTCCAGGTTACTCGTCCTCAGTGAACGCCGCTCTCTCGGCAGAATTCGCCGCTGCTGCATTCCGTTTTGGGCACGGCCTGGCTAGGAAAGACTTCCCAAGGTGAGCACCTTCTACGTTGTTCTCGGTCAAATCTGTTCAGTTCGGGCCAGTTTGAAATTGAACCCATTCTCAACTTAAACAAAGTCTTAGTGCAAAGGAAGGACTTCGCGCCTCATTTATAGTCGGGTTTGGTGGAGTGGGTCCGTTCCACTCACCGAGCCAATCGGTTCTTAGTTAGTTGTCTCGCTGCGCTTTAGTTAGTTGTCCAGCGCTTTGACTTGCCGTTATAGACTTTAAACCGTTGGTCATTCGCATCTATTCAGCCTCGTTACAGAGTCACCAACAGCAACAGAACAGCTGGCTCGACAGTCGATCTTGGCAGTAACATCTTCTATGTGGACTCTCACTATGCAGCGAATCAAGGAGGACAGGCATCGTTTATTGAAGGTAACCTGATCATTTATTTTCATGTGAAAAAGCATGGGAGGAGGCCAGAATAGTGAAATATTCAGTAACTAGTTACTGCTATTTCATGGTTCAAAGGCACAGTTCACGATAAAAATAGTTTCTGGGATTTTCAATGATTGGCCCTCGTGTATGCCTGGACGAGTTTCACCGGCATTGTAGAGGTTGCACCGTTCACAAGGGAACCCATGTAGGAAGTTCAAACTACTTGTCATGACCCATAGGGACAGTGAAAAGCAGTTCTGTACATTTTTGGCTCGATTTAGTCGGCTCTTTGTGCAACTGCAACAACTGAATCTCGTCCGAATTCCCCTTATATGTTATTTCCTTCATGGTAATCTCGTTCAAGCTCTATTTTTCTTACTTTTGAAGTGCTATATTTTTTCGAAATCGGCGAGTTCTCTCGCTCCCTTCACTACCGATGAACTATTCCCAATCTATACATCCGCTTTCGAATAAAAACAGATACCTCAGAAATATCGTGAACTGTGCCTTTAAATAAGAAGGAGCGTAAATGAAGTGGCGTTCAGGAGCCTTGGTCATATCTTTGTCTGTTCATGCTTTCAGGAATGATGCATCAGCCAGGGATGAAACCCGACAACGAATTTTCGTTCCCTATCAGAAATCAGTTGTTCGAAATTCGCGGTCAACCAGGATCTGGAGTGGATTTGGTGGCGGTCAACATCATGCGAGGGCGAGACATCGGCCTATTTCCCTACAACGAATACAGGTAAGCCATATACTCCATCTTCTCGGTGCATTTGACAAAACTTTTTCTTAACCTGCGGCAATGAATATGGTTTTTTTTCGCGTTGGAACTTTGAATAGAGGTGATAATGAAATGGGTTTTGCTGAAGCACTTGCACTGGGGTGAAAAAACTTTTTTCATTTTTTTTTTTGTTGCCGAGGGTCATTCCTACTTTCTCCGATGGATTTTTGAATGCCATTTATCCTGAGAACAAGTTTTATGATTTTTTAAAATAATTTTAAGTACAACGATAACAAAAAGTTCTAAAGCTGACTTCACTGTAAGACTATTTAGCTTGAGAAAACCCAAAAACACTTGTTTTTACAAGGTTGGCGAGTTGTGGGCAAAACTTCGGTTTTGCACGAGACTCGAACTTTTCCTTGTACTTTTCGGACACTGTGCTCCTTGATCATTACACTACCGAAATTCCGCTGATTGTTTCAATTTTGAAGTTGCTGATTTGATTCTAATAATTTTGCTAGGGGTGTGGTTGGCTTCTTTAGACGCACTTAGGACCAAACAGTTTCAAGTCTATGCTACCCTTTCTTAAAACGCAGCACCTCTACTTTCAAGCGATTAAAAATAAATACAATTCGTGAAGCTCATTTTCAGCGGTTAGCAAGCAGTGAGCAAAAGTATGGCAGCTAGCTAGCATTCCATTCAGTTGCTCTATTCCAGATCTCTGGTAGGGCTCAAGAAAGCGTCATCCTTTGATGACCTCAGAAACGAAATGGACTCTTCAAATGTAGAAGCCCTAAAACGAGTCTATGCTGATGTGAACGACATTGATCTCTACACTGGTATCATCCTGGAGAGACCAACACCAGGAGCAGCCGTAAGGGAGATTTGCTCAGCTCATCCCTTGTCTAGAGGATCATGAATCGCTTTGTTGCAGATTGGACCTACTGGGGGCTATATGATTGCCGAGCAGTTCTCCGCCTTAAAGAAAGGTGATCGGTTCTACTATGAAAATCAGGTGGCTTCGACGAGAGGACTCAAAACTGGTATGGCTTTACAACTCTGGACCCTATTTCGGTTTTTTTGAGTTTTCAGTGGCGTATGTCTTAGTAGTAAAAGAGTGCAGGGAGTAACTAAGTGATTGTTCTCTAACCATGTATTGAATAACAGTCTCGTAGCTCAGTAGGTTAGATAGGCCAATAGACCCTGAAATCTCTGTCCCTATACCATGGGCATGACCATTTAGGGATAGGAATTGTTCGGAGTTGTTTGGTTCTTTTCGAGCTTCCGATTGTGCCCTCAGGACCTTAAACTTTGAGGAAATCTGTACAATTCACTGGCTCTTATGTTGTAAACCAAACTTTCGGACCGTATTCCAGTCAGTAGATTTCTCTTTTTTACCGCAGTTCTTCATTATCTGTAGCGCGTCCTCACTAGCCTCACCATTTCTTAATTGTATACAACCCTATGACATTACTATCGTTTTATTGCCCAAGCTCTAATTCAATTTCTTTCAGTACAAGCCAATATGCACTTATCTTTTGTTTACAGAGGAATTGGACGCTGTTCGACGAACGCGTTTATCAAAGGTCGTATGTATGAACACAGCCGGCATGGAAACTGTGGGAGAGGAAGTGTTCTCTCTGTAAGTGAAAAGTATGATAATAGATGATAGCAGCCGATACCAATAGCATTGTCACTGAAATCGCCTCGGTTTCCAGAATGTCTGAGCGAGTTCCGTGCAGCTCTATTCCTGAAATCGACATTCGTCCCTTCACATCGTCACCTCCCCCGCCACCGCCACCATCACCGAGAAGAAATTAGTCAACGCTGTATGTAAGGCTGGTATTTCTAGCCAAAATAAGGGTCGTCGCTCAATAATAAAGAGTTGCTCAGCATTGATCAGATTACTATCATCGTACTTTTGTCTTGGTGTAAATTCGATTGAATGCAACTCGAAGCGACGAATCCTAGCTTGATCATTTTCTTCTTAAAGTTTGCGGTCGAAAGGGGGACGGTACGAACGTGCGTCCGAGGGTGCGCGCGGCAAATTGCGCGGCGAAGTTCGTGACGACTGCGGCGCCAATTTTCGGGGCACAAACTCGCAGTAGTGTAGTTTAGTAGGGTCAGATAATTCCCCTAATCCACTCTATTTCTAATTTGGGCCCCAATGATTGACGCCAAAGTCGTTCAAATCATTACGAACTTCGCCGCGCGCATCCTCGGACGCACGTTCGTACACATACCCGCGGAAGAATGACAGACGGGGGAACGATGCAGAATATGAGGATTTATGTTCACTTTTCGGGTTTTTTTCACGGTGGCTGCTCTGAAGGCACAAGTCACGATAAAGATGGTTTCTGAGACTTCTCCCTAGCCCCCTAAGTCAGCACAATGGATGCTGTCAGGTCGAAAAACCCCTGGGTAGCGCGTAATAAAGGCCCCACTACCAACTTAGCCGACGAGCGCACCCCAAGGTGGACGAGTTGTTACGGCGCTGCAGAGGCTATGGTGATTGCACCATACGCCGGCGCCATCGACAATAGCGCGAGCGGCTAACTCAAATGGTCAAGACACGAATCTGCTATGGCAGTTAGTTAACGCTACCGCCCAATGTTACGTCAAGCTTAGCGTTGGTAGATGAAGGGTCCAGGCTTAATAGTCTGTGGCTGCGAGCGCGTTGAGGTGGCAAACAACGGCACCCAACATGTGGCGCATTCTGTTCGAGTGAAACATATTCAATCGTAAACGATGTCTTTATTCAAGAACATCCTCATGTGATCGATTCATACGCACATTTCAGCACATTGGTCCGCCAGAAAGTCGACATTCCGGCTTGCATTAACGGCAAGCACTTGATGAACGATATCAGGCGGAAAGATCGACAATAGTACTGTTTCTATTTCGGAATCGATAACAGCCTTCTTAAGATCCACGTCTTCATCATGAGGAGTATTGTGATTGTAGCTAATTTCTTCTTCTGAAGATACATTATTTGTTGGCCTTTGTGAGCCAACGTTGAAACCTTCTGCAACACTAAAACCATTCCGTGACTGCAACCCATCTGCCTCTTCTACTCCATTATCTCCACTTGTGGAAACTCCACTCGGTCTGAGCTCATTCGAGGAAGGTTCATCAGAGAACGAGATCAATTCCGTCGTGGGGCCTGGTTGTTCATGACCAAGATCCCTGCGTGAAAGGCGATCTCGGGTTATGAACAACGTATCGATATGGGCTGCAATCTCCTTGAGAACGTCTTCCTGACTGTAAGCGTTCTTAAGCTGGCCATTTTCTTCATCCATTAAACATTTTTGACTGTTGTCACCGTCATTACATCGAGAACTGTCCCAACTATTTTGACTACTTGTAGTTGGAACTAAATCGAATGGGTCTAACGGCGGTTCGATAGTTTCTTGTGGATAGTTCAGGCTTGGGAGAGGAACGAGGTCATCGGAGAAGTCTATCAACGAAAAATTAGATTGATTCGGTTCCGGCGTCTGAGGAACGGTGTCCGTCCACAGATCGTCCATGATCCTTCCATCACTCGTCGAACCTGGAACGAAACAATTCAGCACTCTTTAGCATTCTGCCTATTCAGCTTCCTTACCTAATTCGCTGAAGTTGAACGGGGTGGTATCTCCGAAAACGTTCTCGTCTCCCTCCCAAAAATCACCGTATGGCTGCTGCAATATTAATGAATAAGTGGTAACACAGTAGAAGTGCGGTAGTGACTACTATCGGTGTCTTCTGAAGCCTATCGCCTGCTACGAGCATGGCATCTGGGAGTCTCGGCACCCTTTCCGATCTTACTCAAAGTGATGGGGAGTGCTCATGGTCACAACTACCGTACCATTTGATAACCCGGCAAATCTTCGAGCGCAAGTGGACGAATAGCATTCCGTTCGCATAGCTCGGCTATCATGTCATCGATGGCACTGATCCGTTCCTCCTTTCGCTTTTCACTCCATGATTCACGACGAAGTAGCACCTGAAAAGATCCCCCACTGGTTTGGATAGCCGGGGATTTTACTAAACGTCATGGTGCACGACTACAGACTTTCGAAAATTCCGGATCATCAGGGCTTGCGAATATCTTCTGCGCTATCATCGATGCTCGAATTGTCATGTCCTCATCTAAAATGGTGTATGATAGGACAGTAGAAGTTCAGGAGGGTATGCTGGAGCACCGACATATGTACAGTTCGGGAAGGGCCTTGTAGAATACGTCGTTGCCATAATTCACGACGTCATGCGGTAGAAATCGAAACTTGACGTCCAGCGTTCTGTTGAGGATGACAGGATGGAACTCGCTGAAAAGCAGTCAAATTATTCAGCGAGGTTCTTGAGATCCAAAGAGTTTTGAGTGATTTGTAGCGATCAGCTATTTCCAAATAGTACCTATATGCTGGTTGCGCTAAAATATCTTTGAATTTGTCGCCACTCAATACACATCCACCATGACGAGCCGCTAGCGTTGTGACGTAGAGGTCATCATAGTTTATGAAAGCTCTGAAATCTACGAGCTGTAGCGACTATTTGCTGGTTGTCCAGTTTGAACGATCAGGTATGGGTCAGGATGTGCCATCTCGGCCACCTGTGCAATGTAGGCTGCCGCGTGAACTGCAAAGTTGGCTGTTTGCGTCGCGAACTTTCACATTTCACAGATCAGGCTCAAAGACCCAAATACGATTGACTAATATTGCCGCGCACGCGAAGGCGTCTGTCCGAGTCATTCGCGGTGGCCCGTCTTGACCCGTACCCGTGACCTCATAGTTCTTGATTCCAAATCGTTCTATCTGACTCTTTGTTATGTTGCCTCTGAACTAACTTTCGCTCTCCTCGTCCAGTCCTAGCGGGAGTGAAGGTGACGAGACCGAGTTCCTCCAATTTCTGAAATTGCAATCATTGAGATCAGTCGAAAGAGCTCTTCCCCACATCAACTGGCCAAGTCGAAGGGTACCTACCGCTAACAAATGTACGTGAACAGCGTTGAAGTTGTGTGAATTATTGTAAACAACCGGAAGAAAGGCTACGACATCGAAATCCCGTACAAGTAGCCATCGGATCACTGCCATCAGTCCAGCACAGTTCACGGCTCTGTGATAGGCGATTATCATTGCATTCGTACTTGATGGTGTACAGATAGGGCGGTCGGTATGTTGACATCCTACAGTTGGTCACACTATCACACAGAACGGTTACTGGGTAGGTAAGCCTGGGTATGTTTATTCACCCGCAAAATAGTGGTCCTAATATGGCAGTTGATTGAGAAGCTGTTTACTGACGCTTTTTTCCCGACTGGTCTCAGGGCAGCTTAACCGGTACCGTCAGGGTCTGGGTCTTCTTCTAACCAACATATTTGATGTCTAGATTGTTAATGGATGATAATGATAACGAGAGGTGATAAGGAGTGTTACCAATCCCTATCTCCTCTCACTATCACTATCATCCATTCACCGTAGCGGTTGGGAGAGGTTCTCTGCTTTGCGTGCTTCCTCATGGGTGGCAAGTGAGCAGGCGTGCCTATCGGCGCTCATTTTTGTCGCTGATTCATTGAGAGGTGGTTTGAAGAGTGGAAACATCCTGAAATGTGGCCACAACCCTAAAGGTTCTTCGGAGGTGACGTGACCAGAGAATTCCGAACCCCACCCTGATGGCATCCATAAATCCACTGGAAACATGGCCCTTTCTGAGTGTTCACCCTCAATCACCTCTTCTTCATTGCTCAAACCGAGTTTCATCAGAGGTCTGTTCATCTTCTGCTTGCACGGTACTGTAGCGATGATACTGCTGCAGTTTTCTGATGATGGAGTACTACGGCCATGGCGTTCCAACATGTGAATGAGTGAAGAAACTTACTCTCTGCCCATGCCACATGCACTTCTTCCAATATTGCAGCCATCTATGACCATAAGCCTCGGCAGCCAATCTGGACCAGGTTTAATGAAACACGCCTCCTTGCACATCACTTCTGTAAAGCTTGAGTAAGTACAGCCAAGATGATGGTGGGACGTCCACCTGGCAGCCACCCACATTCCTTGCCAAAGCATCGGATATACAGAGGCAGAGCAGCAAATACGAAAAGTGAGACATACCGCTGATCGAGAGGCTTTTATAGTTGACTTATCAACACAGAGAGCTCTAGGAGATAAGATCATCATTTCACCTTGAACAGGATGAATGCTCGGTTGTAAACGGATCATTCCAGTCCCGCAGAAGTGTTGCTGCAGAAAATGGATCAGATTCAGTATTACTACAGCCATTGGATGCATACAGTCATGCCGCCGACGTACGTAGCGCTTGTCGCGTTTATGGTTTACCGAATCACCATACGAGCGTACGGTACTTTCGCGCGAAGTATAACAGTAGGTACGTGATTCGCCTAATTATTTGTTGAACCAGGACATCTAGCTAAGCGTTCTCATAACGGGCGGCATTGGAGTGGAGNAAGTAGCTATTTCGTGCTTAAAAGTAAATGAATAAGGTAGATTGCTTTGCTATGAAGAATCCTGGCGCAGTACAGGATAGAATCCGATCGAAAAAGGCTCGTACGACTGCTACTCCACCAGGACCTATTGAAAAGACGTATTTTTATTCCTAGGCTACATTTGAAGACTCCAGGCTCCTGAGAAATCACCAGCTGAGTGACTCACTATTTCTTTCGAGTGATGATTAACCATTCAAAATCTGCCCTTTGAGAAGGAGTCTTTGGGCTTCGTCTACGCAGGTTTAGCTTTGTCGACCAGTCCCTTGCCATCCTCTCATCAGACACACCCTCTCCAGAATCGTTACAAGGCTTCGTCGGCCTCGAACTCAAAACCATTCCTCTACTTCGAGTACATTCCATACGATTTGAGGCTCTTGCTACCTTCATTTTCCTCCATCGAATGGTCCATCTGAAGATGTACTGAATGTTGTAGAATAAATAAGTCACTCAGGGAGGTGCTTATACCACTCATCTACCATAAAAGTAATTTTTGTGGTTCAGAGAAGTGAAGAGTTTCAAATCTGAGGAGGTTGAAGAATGCTCTATTTGCGAGCTCTGAAAGTAACGCACCTCTAGTCTTCTTCCCAGAGTTTAATGATCAGAAAGTCATCTTAATAATAATGCAGTGCCTCTGAAACAAACAGAACAACTATGTCGAGGCAAAGTGAACGAGAGCGTGAACGTGGTAGGCAAGGTTGTAAAGCAGTAAATTGAGGTTGAATATCCGGATGGAAGTTCCACTATAGAGTCTTATATGTCTTCTGTCACAGTCCTACAAGCTTATAATTCTGAAGGGTAAGGAGAAAAACTCTTAACATGCCAATATTTCCTGCATAGTCACAGGAGGCCCACTTTTTGTCGTACGGTAGCAAGTGGTGCAATCGCGGTCTTTGGCGCGTGACGATAAATTTTCAAATTTTCGTAGAAAGTGTTAGATAAACGTCTTGTGTTCTGATTGTTAGATCTTTTTTTGTTGCTTCTCTACTGAACATTATTCCATTGAAAATTTGTTCTATGGATAGAGTTTTGAGCGCTCTGGGGTCTAGGAGCTGTTACTTTCGGTATTTTTAGAATGACTGCAGATAACGAAAATCTTCAAGGAGTTGCTGATCAGGCTCTTCTTCTTTTGACACAAATGAAGAGAAATCCGGACGTAATGCCACCCTACAACGTGAGTTTGGTCCCTTTCTTTCTAGCTACTTAGCGTTCACTGTCATGAGCATTCCAGGAGGAGGCAATGAGGGCATGCATTGCTAAAATGAACGAGCTGTACAGTCAAAATAATGAATGTGTGTAAGTTATTTTTACAATCTTTTGTTTTTTCTTCCGGTAGGTAGTTTTGTAGTAACGTTAAGAAATTATAAGAAGAAATCGAATTTCTTAAAAAGGATAATTTATTTGTATCAATCTCGTGGCGTTTCGAGGCTTCTAAATTTTTTCATATGAGATATATAATTTTATGTGATATTTTCCTTTTACTCTATGAAATAATCGATTAGTAACCTCGTAGCCACCTCCCAGGTATTGTCACCCGCGAGAGGAGGTAAGGTTGGAGGTGGAGGGGAAAGGAGATTTACCTAGTCAGCTTCAGCAACGCGTGGCGTACCCAATAACAAGCGGAAACAACAGTTCACAAAATTATGCTGCAAAACAAACTATTATATGTTCTCTTTTGCTTCGAGATTCTATTTAGATCTCTTACGTAAATGACAGCCTTGAAGATTTGCCTCATGCCTAACTTATGATATCACCCTTGAAGTAACAATGTTTCAGAACTTTCGTTTTTTTAGCTTTATAACAACAAGAATAAAATGAGTTCATGCTATCGTTTATAGAACACGTCTTCGATCGCAAGGTGAACAGGCAAGCAAGGAACTCGAAGCGCTAATGATTTGTCGGAATGAGGCATTGAAGCATATACGGGTAACGGGTTTCGTATTTTCATGTGGTTAAGCCTGGTTTTTTAATAGTTCCCATCGATTTTATGTTTAATTGTTCTTTTAGTTCCGGCCCTCCGTTACTGTAGTTCTTAAAAGAAGTCTTTTATAATGCCCTGTATCCTGGCTTACCTGGCTTAGAGTTTACAGTATTTTTTTTNTTTTTTTTGCGTTTTATCGCAAATCTGCCACTCAATTCTCTCAGAGTGAAGAAAATCTCAGAAGAAAGCTCAGCTCATTTGATTTTCCAGAAATCGTTCTATTTAAGTTTCGAAGCTGCCTTTTTTCAGAGGTGTTGCTTAGCATACATACACGCTCGTGCTGAAAGGATAAGGTCATACCGCTGGCGGCTTGGAGGGGTACTACCAGCATCAGTGAAGGTCTTAGTAGTAGTACTTATTCAGTAGAACATTTTTTATTAGCCGTGTTTGACGTCCTCAATGAGAATATTCAGAATAACCTTTGCGAAGCAGAAATCGAATTCTTTAATGAATACTGCAGCAGTCTGGCTGAATTTCAAGCCGGTATAGGGGAAAACGGTGTGAACCTTCTGCTGAGTACTCATCCACCAAAGGCCCTTTATGTTCAGGTGCGACTTTCTCGAGTTTTTTTTCCTATAAATTAGCTTTTTGTCATTGTCTGGAGCGTGCTATTTGGTTTTTCTTTGATTCCACTCTTACACTCTGGACTTAAATATAGCCTATGCATATGCTTACTTTTGACATTCGTTAAACCCGATTCTTTGCATACGATTTCAACATATTAATTAAGAGCTAACACTTTATGGGAGAAAAAGATGGAGAGGAATGCTTTGTAGCTATTCTCGGGACGTCCCCAGAAAGCGAACCATTAAAGTTGCCTATGCATCTGGGATTTTAAGAGTTAAAGATAAAAAAGGAGGCAGGCTACCAGCTGCACATTTCTTACCCCATATGTCTGCTTGGATTGAGTTCTTCCCACTGAGTTCGGAATTTTGACTGCTATTGATCGTTATTAACGTGCCTAGAGCAGACCACAAAACTGCTTCCACGTATTCATTCCTACCCTTCTTTGATTTCGTCATCTGGTAGTATAGCTCCTACTCATTCATGCTTTGGTTTTTTATTCAACTACCATTTCCGAGCACGAAGCGGCGAAGTAATGACATAAAGCCGTGTCTCCTCTTTTTTCTCCTATAGATTTCCAGCGAAATCAGTAGAGACGTGGGCGTTTTTTGGAACCACATGGACGCGATTATCGATAAATAATAGTGGAGAATGCCGTAAATATAGATCTTATACTTGGAACCTATTACCTCTCTTAAATCATGGATCAGTTCGACTAGTAAATGGGTAATGGTATGGCTTCGCTGATGATGAATTAGACTTACTTCTAGAGTGTTCTATTATAGGTACGAGTATTGGAGAATTATGGTGAATTCGAGACTTCTGATGGGAACCTGGTTATGCTTCAGGTCAATTCAACGGTGGGTCGAATTAAACGTATTTACTGTGCTGTGCTTACTTGTGCTTACTTATTGTTTAGTCAGAAAGAGATCGTTCCAATCTCAAATTCTTAGCTATTGCTCAGAGCAAATGAGGATTTGAGTGTTTCCTCTCATGTGTTCCTACTATTTTCATCAATTTCATTGCCTGTTGATTATTTTCCACATTTTCCGCATTTCCTGATTCCATGTCTATGAGTGCATTCCAACTTACCCTTTACAGCAAGCAATTTAAGTGATTCAACTTCACGCTAGCTCTTTTCAGGATTTCATCTTATTGGAAAATTTGAAAACTTACAATACATTCACTGTAATTTTATGCGTGAAGTCTAAAACTTTTGTTTCAGCATTCTTTACCAAGGCATGATTGTGAGATGCTCATCAGGCAAGGAATCCTAGAGATCGCCAATTAAAAATGAATGCATCATTATATGTGGAGCACTTCGTTATTTCGATCTTCCATTCCATCTTGTACATAAGCTTACGTTGTCAGAGTTGATCATTAGTTGATATTGTTATTAGCCTGGTGTGGAACAGATACAGATTGTCAGAGCAAGAAATTGTATCGCTGATGTTTACTTTTCAAAACTTTCGAGAACGAAAAATTTTTTTTTTGTAGGATAGTTGAATCACATCTCTTCCTAGGGGTCCTCGGTCATAAGTAGTAGAGAAGCCGACTCCATCCCTTTGCTTCTATCTAGCAATCACTTAGGTGAGATAACCTGGGGCCTGACCGTTGGTTAACGTTGGAGTTGGGGGGGGGGGGGGGGG